GAAAATCCAAGCCAAATTTTCCATGCCAAATTATGACCATCAAACACCACTAAACTTGGAAAGTTGGAAAATGTTTTCTTTTTCCACCCATTTTCCATGCTATCAAACATGGCCTAATATACATTTAATCATGGGAGTTGTGGGTGCATTACAATATTTAAAATTATTTATATTTTTCTTCCAAGTGTAATTGTATGGATTAAGAACAATTTGCAGTCCTATTCAAAAACTAGTATTTTTAAGATGAAAGAATCAAACCAAAAATGGGGGTGTCCCTAAGTTTCCCCTAGAAGGGGAAATCTAAAGCCTTTTGAGTTGGTAATGTAGAAGTTTAATTTTTATAAAAAGGAAACCCATAAAATTAAATTCTTAACTATACAAAATTACAAACGTTTGGATACACGAAGCCTGCTCATCCAAATGGCAACTATTTGCTTTTGTTTTCTTTAGCCGGCCGGCAGTAATAGACAACAATTAAAAAGTAGTAGTAGTAGTTGGAATTGATAATGAATCACCATTAATTATAATCAAAATACAAAAGATAAGATAACTTCATGAGCATATTAATATTAATTAAAAACTAGTTTGATAGAGGATGACCAATAGTTATCAACCACGTGGGTCGAAAAATTGATTGACTTAAATGCATTACATATAAATTGTGAATCGTAATTAATTTTTTAGTGACGTCAAACTCCAAGAACTTGGAGAACATGTTTCACTTCTACCACTGCTTGAAGCGATTGTTTCTATTATGAAGAAATCGTATTAAATCTTATTTAGTTTAATTTTGAGTGGATTAACCAACGACCATATTGCCAAATCCAGCATGGCCGACCTTCAAAGGTAGACTGGTCCATGGCTCGAACAACGATGTTCACGAAAATATGTTGAATTAAAATCACCGTAAGTGTACGGTTCGTTAACAAGTAGTAAAATGAATTTTGAGTCCAAGTATCGTTCCCACGAAAATTGATTAGTTCTAATTCGAATTGCCGTGACCTTAACCGAAATATAAAAACGAGAATGTTTGTTTTGATGAAATTATAACTAAATTAATGATCAATATGCAAGTATGAATGAATTAACTAACTAAATGCAAATTGACGATGAATGTAAATTGAATTGTTTTCTAATGTATGATGAATGTACTATGATCACGAATCCCTATGTAATATTCCTTTTAAACCTAGTTCTACACCTTGACACACGGTTGAAATATTGAAGAATCAATACTCCTAAATTATTTAACAATATCTCTCGAATAGAATTAAACACATTCAAATATACGACCCGACTATATCTCTATGACGAATGNCTAGTCCTAGCACAAAATTAATCTAGCCTAGCATGGTGTGAAGAAGAAAATCAGAAATATAAATAAAGAACGACATCACCAATTCGATTCTTGAATTGAAGCTTCGTGTTCTTGGAGTTGATCTTCGCGTTCTTGCCTCTTTTCTTCTCTCAAAAGTCTTCTCCTCTCCCCCGCCATGTATTCTACTATTATTTATTTGTACGAGTCGAAAATTGGTTGAAAATCAAATTCAATTTGGTTTCCAAAAGAGTTCCAATCGAATAACTTTCAAGTTTCATTCGCACGGGAATTTTTTTTTCTCTTCACAGTAGTCAGTATTTTGGCCATAACATTCTCTCAGTCATCCGATTGGGGCGATTCAAAGTTCTTTCAAAAGTTGCCTCAAAGGAATATAACTTTTCTAGAAATAGAATTTTTCCAATTTGGATGTTTACAGTGCCAAAAATGGGTATCAATATTCTGCTAAAAATCTGGAATATAACTTGTGCGATTGGACATTGATTGTAATAATATTTTGAGCATATTCCATTCATTTTTGAGTTCTAATTCTATCCAATTGACTCTTATCAATCTTCAAAGTATCATCTCGTGATCCGAATCAACTATTGAATTTGCAATTTGGTCCTCAAACTTTAGACTTTGCCATTTTTCCTTGATTTTCTTTTGTTTATTCCAATTCATCGTTCAACCTATATAACATGAAATACAACAATTTATGATATTTTATCAAAAAAATTGCCTAATATCGATATTTTAGACCTCAAATAAGTGTGTAAAACGCACTTATCAAGCGACATAGTTCGATCGGCTAGAGCCCCACATTTCTCAAATCGAACTTTCTTAGTACCTAGAGTGTGACCCACTTTGACATCTCTTAACAAGTATCCATGCAAAAGGCTCTTTAGTCCGAGTGAACCTATTGTTCTGCAATCCACTTTAGAATCAGCTTTTAACAAACTAGCTGGTGTGGAGTGTGGTCTAGACAGGTAAATCTAACGGTCCATCTCAAACAACAACAAAAAATTAACTTCTGCAAAAAATAATAAACCAATCCAATGCATACACTCATCACGCTTTTCTCTTCTCTTTATTCTCTCTCCAGCAATTATCCGATTAGTAGAAAAATAACACAACCCCTACCAGACATAAACATTTCTAATATATAATTGATGTATCTCATTTGTGGCGGATATATTGTTTAATTGAATTAATATTCTAATAAATTATATTAAATAATGGAGTTCGTAGATTTAAGTTTTAGTAATTTGTTAATTACAAGGAATTATGATTGTAAGATACAAATTACAAAAGGGTAATCAGAAGAATGAGATTCATCAATTGATTAATTAACAAGTGTTGACAATTAATTAATTGAGTTGCTTGTTAACATGCCCAAAGTAATTAATTGGATTAATTAATTCATGAACCTGTTTAATTAATTAGATTAATTAAATATTGGACCAAATTAAATTTAAGAGACGTGTCAAGTTCACTTGGACTTATATTAATAAGAGCCTGTTTGCCCCCACTTTTTAGCCAAATTTTGACCGTTTCTTCACTGTACGTGGGCCCCGGCTGTGAGAGGACTACTCTATAATTGCGGCCGAACGGTCAAGAAACAGATTAAAAGTCGGATGAAAATCTGGGCCAGACATGGCCTAAGCTATTAAGCTTTCAAAAAAAAAAAAAATAGAACAAAACATAATTCATTATTTTGTTACTATAAGAAAAGAGAAACTCTAGTTCTCTCAATTTTGTTTCCCACGTGGATTTTCATTAGAGGCTGAACAATTGAACATCTGTGGATTGCAGATCAGAACAGTTCTTCAAGGAATTCATCAAAAGTATAAGAGTATATTCTTTTTACCATTTTCAAGTCGTTTTTTGTTTTCGATTTTCCAAAACAGTGAAAATGCGTTCTCTTTCCTATTTTTGAAAACGCGTTTTTGAAAACAAGTTAAAAATATACAAAGAAAACTCAAAACGATAAATTTGTCGTTTTGGGTGTTTTCAGTTATAATCAAGTCCAAATTTTCAAAACGCGTTTTAGGTGTTTTCAAAATAATTTTTCAAAATGTCAAAAAGAACACATTTTCAACAATCTCAAAATGGACATTCAAAATACAAAACTCAAAATGAATTCAAAACTGAAAACACGAAACTAAAATACAAAGAGAACAACCCCTAACTTTCTATCACAATTTCTATCTAAGTACAAAGTAGATCCTTGATGAGAATTGAAATTTAATTTATTTTTCGATGTGCATGATTAAGTAAATTCTCAACATGGGATACTGCTGTGGTGTTTGTGAAGGGATAGAATTTGAGGTCGGATAGAGAATCCGATCCGGGGCAATTCAATTGCCATTTCGGGTTGGGGAATCAGAAAATTGATGGGAGATTTATACTGGGGACGAAAGCTTTGACAGCTGCTTAAGAGGTTGCGAGATGTTCATTACCGCGGAGTGTACAAGCTAATCCGGATAAGCCATGAGGAATACGAGTGACTGTTGGAATCATATCCTATGGTCGTTCTCGAATTCAAGAGCATGTACTTGTGCCTTCTGTGGCCAAGATTTATGGTTTCCAATCTGAGGAGGAGGAGAAGAAGAAGAGTGAGGGCAAATAGGAGCTTTGTGTGTGTACGCTGGTATGGAACCAGGCGTCTGCTCTTTGCGAGTGGATTTTGTACCATGCTTGGCTTGGAGTGAAGTGGTGGTTCATTTACGATAATAATAGTGATGATAGGATTGAAGAGGTTATTCAGGAACTTGATCTTGAGGGTTACAATGTCACTAGGCATGTATAGCCTTGGATCAAGACGCAAGAGGCAGGTTTTTCGCATTGTGTTTTGACAGCAAAGGATGAATGCAATTGGGGTTCATTCATGGATGTAGATGAATTCTTCTACATTCCATATTCAACACCGAGACACAGAAGATTCAGGAAATTGGGTTACGCAGGTCAGAAGCAGCTTAGTAGCAAACTTTTCGTCATTATCAAGAAGAATTGCAGAAATCAGAGCTTCTTGCCACAGCTTTGGACCCTCGAGGTTGAACTCACCAGCTTTTCAGGGAGTCACCGTAGGTTACATTTGTTGACTTCAGAGTCCCGAGAGGCACAATCAATCATTCGACATGATGCGCTGGATACTACACTCCTCAATGTGGTGCACCATTTCCACTTGAGGAAGGGATTTTCTTCTTTTCTTTTTTTTTTTTGTGAAAGTCTCCTAAAATCTTGTGATTAATGAGAGACAAATTTTAATATTTTATTTGAGTATTTTTTGCTTAAAAGTTAGTATCATGAAGATTTTTATTAAAGTCTCTAAAAGTTACAAAAATTTGAATACCCCAGGACTTATTGAGATTTCTAAAAAGTTTTACCGCCTGTTTGGTACACATTAAAATGAAAGAATGCATTTTTTTGAAGTGATGTGATGGAGAATAAGTGGTTGAAAAAGAAGGAAAAGTTATTGATGTGATGGAAAATATTATTTTATTGAAGAATGTGTGGTTGAAAATGAGTAGAAGAATGAGAATGAAAAAGATAATGTGGCCCAAACAGGGGCTTAATTGAATACACCGTGACTTTTAGAAACTTTTTAAAAGTTTATAAAAGTCTCAATTGAATATACCAATACTTTTAGAGAGTCTCCAAAAGTCTATATTGAATACTCTTAAACTTTTTAAATCTCAAAAAGTCATTAAAAGTTTCAATTGAATACACCCCCTAAGTGTGTGAGGTTTTTCGAGCAAAGTTTTATAGACGGGTTGCTACCTACTGCAGTAATCAATCACCATAAATACCATATAGCTTATTTTAAACAGCAAGTAGCATGCAAAAAACTATCAAGGATATATGATTTTTGAGCATGAACATGTTGTTTGATATTGAGCACTACGAAGAGCTCTCTGTGTTGAAGCTGAAGATTGTAGGCAGAGCCAATTTGAATCCGAATGGCGCCACAGAGTGTTTCCAGCATGAAAAAACATTAACTTTATGCTTCCTTCAATTCGTGAAAGATTTGACTTAAATGGCCTGAACATAGCTATTCATGATACGTTTTCGCATTGCCTTTAGATTTTGCAAAAGTTTATGATTAGGGCAAATGAATGTGATGAACAACTAATAAGAACACAATCAGATAGATTATTCGTTGATTTAAAAGAATACTAAATATTTGATCTACGTTTAATAGACACAAGCATCATTTTAGTAATTCTACAACTTGATGATGTTCTTACCAAATAGAACCAAGTAGTTTATTGTAAAGAAAAATGACATGATGGAAAATCAAAATCTCTAAACTGCCAATTATCTTGACTTGATCATAATATTGCTGAATTATGCCTTGGTCGTAGTATGAGAATCCCCAAACTCTTGCATGAAAATCCAGTCAATAATCCGTTTGAGCCGGTGGCACAATAAAGAGAAAAAAAATAAAAAAAAGTCACACAATAGCTTGAGCAAACATAATGAAAAGCCATATACGTATTGATATACTTTCATATGAAACATCTTTATTTTTCAAATACAATCAAATGGGAAATATTGATTGTTATCGGTGCGGTACCGATAAGAGTTTGAGAAATTAACAACCATAGACGTGATTCGATTCCACGGTTATCTTATATATACTACCCAAATCAAATTTCTGTATTAACCATCATTTTGGTATTACCTGTACAAATATTTTTAGGGTCCGTTTGATTACAAGAATGAAAAATGGGTAGAAAGAAAATGAATATTAGATAAAATAATTGTCTAGAACTTATTTTCTCGGGAGTTATCAGTTAATTGTGTTTGATTGGTATAATTTTTCACTTGAAAAATGTTGAAATTTTGGATTTTTTGGTATTCGTTTGATTTTATTTTCCATAAAAATTGTCCATTAAAGGGAATTTTTTTTCAATTGGGGATATAATTTGTTTCCATTGCAATAAAAAAATATTTGGAAAACCTGGATTCAATGAAATCATGGAAATATGGGTCACGTGGGGCCGTGGGGGGTTGTTGGCTATCAAACAATCAAAAAGTTGGAACTTAGAAACATCAAACAGGCCCTTAGATTTCTGTATGTTACTGTTTTGCATACTTAATTATGATTAAAGAATATTTGACATTATTGAAAATGACACTAATTAATTCTTTTTTTAGTAATAATACAAAATCTAAATTAAATCTTCATTGTAATAATACGAAATTTATGAAAATATTATGTGATAAACGTAGAAGTCCACAAAATAGTAACGTGCAGTAAAATAGGTGATTCAATCAATATAAATGAAAATATTAACTGTTATTGATTATTTTCTACGCTTAGGTGTTTCTATGGAATTCAAGCTTAACTTTGGGTTTGGATAAATATAAAAAGAAATGAGAAACATTCACGTGATGATCAAGTGGCCAATCTTTTTCGTTTTTCAAGATAAGAGGAAAAATTAGTAAAAGGTTCCCTCCAATCACATTTAATTATATAGATTAAAATTGATGATAGTAATTTAATTATTTATTAATTATATAATTATGGGCAAAGTCAAGGACTTCTATTTTTAAATTAGTCTAGTATGGATATTATTTCTGCCCCACGATGCAAGAAGCCTAACAAGAAGAACGCCTTGTTCTTCAGTCTTTGTCGTTGAGCATAATTGTGTATTCTAGTTCAGTTTTTTAATTAATTAGCATAGACAACTTCTAATTAATTAGCCTACTAGTGCTAAATAATTATTTAAATTTGCAAAGTACCGAACACTAAATTTGTCCCATTATCCAAATAGCTGTTAACAAGAAGAGTGCCTTGTTCTCGAGTCTATATTAATTTGTTAGCATCATTGTAGCCTTTTTTAGTTATCTTTCTTTGACTAGCATACACAAGATTTTATTTCGTAGCTATGCATTAAAATAAAATATACTTTTCTCTATACTAGTCTATTTGTCTGTGCAATGCACCGGGTTATGTTAATTTGAAGGTAATGTTAGCGATAAGTTTGTATTTACACTTTGTTGTTTAACAATAGAGATGTATATAGAATGATCTAACTTTTCAATAACATCAAAATAAATTAACAATGTCACATAGTTGCACTGAAAAAATGTTAGATATTTTTCATAATTTATTTATTTGTTTATTTTTGTTATGCAAATGGTTTGTTGCTTCGAAATGGGGATCTACCTACCAGATCAGGCCGCGAAGGTCGAGGGGACAACGCCCTCGTGGGGGCTTAAGGGCAACGCCCTCGAAAGGGAATTTTGATTTCCGTGTATGTGTTGAAAAGTTGTGTCTGCGGGAAGTTAATAGTTTTTTTTCAACAAACACACTCATTCATTTCAACGGACACTTTTCCCCTTATATATTGAGTATGTTGCCTATTTGCAAATACAAATGATCTGATCTTCGCACTGCGCAAAGCGGGAACTGGTCTCCACGTTGCGCGGAGACTCCCGTCCGTGCACTCATAGAAGTCTCCGCTCTGCACGGAGATCCATGTCTCCGAGTAGCGCGGAGACCCCTCTACCCTGCACCGTGGTCTTGATCCCACCGCCTGCAAAATTATACATGTAGTAATATATTATCCCAATGAGTTCAAAGATGGATTGAAATGTGTAGTGTGTCTTTCTAAGGTCTCACACGTGGAAAAAACAAGGTTTTTGTCAAAATGCAAGCATGAGTTTCATATGGATTGCAATGATATGTGGTTTCAATCTCATTCCACTTGTCCTCTTTGTGGAGACCTTATTAGGAATGAAAATGAATCCTAATCGAATACTAGTAGTCCTGAAGAGGCTGTAATTCAAACCCAAATTGAAAAAAATTCAGGCGCGCCACCAAAATTTCCCATCAATGTGTTGTTTTGGGGGTAATGAGACTCGAGTTAGTACATTTGGACCTTGTTTAGAGAATAGTCATCAAGGCATTGCAATTGCTGCTCCATTTCAACCCACTAGCTCGTCATCATTGGCATCGACAAGTAATAGGCCAAACAGAATGCTTGTGATTGAAATTCCAAGACAGTTTAACGAAGGTGAAGATGAAAAATCGCATGTCCCTTTGTATTTGAGGTCGTTGAAAATGCTTCTGAGTGGTGATATAAAGTTCAACCCTTGGAGTCCTAGAAATGCGGATATGGTACAAGGAAGTAGCAGTCTGAGTTGATGTCCCCATCCAATGTCTTATATGTAATTATGCACAAATTTTTCAGTAGGAGAGTGTGATGCTGTCGAAGGTCATCAAGTTCAATGGCCGTGATAACTAAGGATGTCAATATCCCCCACTTCACATATTTATTTGTTCTATGTTTTTTGTTCTTGGTGAAGATGAAACATATACGGCTTCGAAAACATATGATTTAGTGTACACCTAGTTGGTTTCTCTGTTTGAGGGCTCCGTTTTTCGATGTAGTTTGTGTTCGAAGAAACAGAAATACAATTAAGCTTAGAATTGACTACCAATAGTAAATGGTTTCTTTCGTTTTTTCTTTCTCCTTTATTCTCTGAGACATAAGAGAGTCAACAATAGTGGGTAGGAGAAAGTCCATATTACCCTTTTGTTTTAAAGTTTCGTGAATGGATAGTGGATGATGGATATAGATAAAACGTGAATAAAAAAAGCTTCATAAATGAACAGTAAATGGTGGATTGTCTCTTTTAAGATAGTAGGAATATATACACACACATATAGAGAGAGAATTTTGAAAATTACATAATCTTTAATGAAAAGCTTCAAGACGGTTTTATTATTCTACTTTACTATTTCAGTAAATTAATTTTTTGAGCACACATTTCAGCCATGTATAAAATCCCATTTTTTCATCGTGTGTGAATATTTGCTACTCTTTATTTATTAGTTTAGAAAAAAAATAGTTGTATATATTAAAGAAGTTTAAACTTGTTGGCCTTATATACTATTATTGCATAATATTTAATTTCCTTCTTTTATATGTTTCCTTTTTGTTTATTTTTCTTGTAATATATATAAATTTGTGTATCTTATTAAAAAACCTAATTTTTGACTACTCAATATATCATCGATTTTTCTTCTCTCTTTCTTTTTCTCTGCTCTTCTCTTTGAATCGATTCACTATATTGGTTCAAAGTAGTTTATGTTGTTAACATAGTATTAGATATTATAATTGAGTGAAATTTGAGAAATTTCTAATTTTAATACTCTGGAAATCCAAGCAGAAACCAGGCTAGAAAAATTGTGTAAAAACCATACTTGATTGAATCAGAGACCGGTTGAGAAAATTGAGACCAGATTCTTGTTCAACAGGTCGAAACGCATCTTTCGGCCATGCGCGTGGTAGCAGTGAGTAGGACTCATACGTAGTGACATTTTCAAGGTGATTCCAAAGGCAGTTTGTTCCTCTGTAAATTTATGATCTTTTAGTAGTATTGCTTTGGTTATATGTATACTGTGCAGTATATTTCGATTACAGTTTGTGGTGGTACGTTGGTTATCGTTAGTTTTCCTTAGAATTGGGTAATTTCGTTGATTTGTAGTAGATTATTTGTTAACTTTATGATGACAACTGAAAGGGATGACTCACTTCAATCTCTTAGTGTTAGATTGAATGTTAAAAATTACTTACATTGGAGTACCGTGATAATAAATTTTTTAAGGGAAAAAACTTGTAGGGCTATGTTAGTGAGTGGAACTGTTGTGAAACCCAATAATACTGCTGAGAATTATGTGATGGAGTTGGATAATTGAGAATTAAACAATGCGAAAATTCTTGCTTGAATTCATAATTTTGTTGAGCAATCCATTGGTACATAGTCGGCAAAGTTTGAAACAACAAATGAAGATTGTGATTATTTTCAGAAGTTATACACTAAGTCTAACTTTGTAAAGCAATATCAGTTGTAGATTGATATACGGGCTTTACAATAGAAAAATATGAGTATTCTCAAGTTTTACACCGCTATGAATTCAATTTGGGATGAGTTGGCTCTTACAGAATCAACGGGATTGAAAGCATGTAAGGAACATATTACTTTCAGAGAGGAGTAGCGATTAGTACAGTTTTTTATGGCACTTTGCTGTGATTTTGAGGGATTTAGAGGCTCTATCTTGCATCGTATTCCACTTCTCTCAGTTGATTCCATGGTTAGCGAACTTGTAACTGAGGAAAAACTAGGAAATCTCTTGCAGGAGAAGTATATATTCATCCATCTAACACCTCAGTGTTGATTGTACCTTCTTGACCGTCCACATAGAATCAGAACAAAGGTTATGTGAGAGTTGCTAGATATGAGTGCAATTTTTGCAAACAAGAGGGACATTGGAAGTCTCAATGTCCTAAGTTTTGCAAACAAAAGGGACATTGGATGTCCTAAACTATTGAAAAAGCAGTAGCCACAACCACAACAGCAATCCTACCGTCCCAATGCTAAAATAGCTGCCACCATGCCACCTAGTAACTCGTATGTACTCGGAGCACCACCTCCTTCCAGTCCCATGTTGACTAATTTAACATAGCAGTTTCAGAAGTTCATAGCCACACAGCCATATGCTATGTTAGCCTCTACTTATATAGGTTTGTCATCAGAGAGTCATTCAGATATTTCTTCCTCATGGATCTTTGATTAGGTGCTTCCAATCACATGTCGTCTAACTCAAAATTCTTTAATGACTTGCGTCCTTCTAACTCGTCTATGTTTGTTATGATTGTTCATGGTACACCATTGCCTTTAATAGGTGTTGGTTCTGTTAACACACATAATTTATCTCTTTCAGATGTCTATTGTGTTCCAACTCTTATTTAGAATCTTATTTCTATTGGCCAATTGTATGATTCTAGATATTTAGTTCAGTTTTCTTCTACTGCTTGTCATGTGCAGGATCCTCGATCTCATAAACTGATTTGAGATATGCCGTAGACAAGGAGAGTTATATGTTCTGGACAACCACATGTTGCAGCCTCTGGTGTTGACTTGTCATCTTTCTGTTTGAATTCACAGTCTTCTATTTTTTATTTGTGACATTCTCGCCTTGAACATATTTTCGCTAGTCGTTTGAAATTTTTAGCTTCTAAGGGTCAATAGGAAGATTTACAAACTCATGACATTTATGGTTGTAGTGGTTGCAAATTAGCTAAATTTTCTGCTTTATCTTTTCCTCGAAGTGTTCTCATTCTGCTGCACCATTTGATCTTATTCACTTTGATGTATAGGGACCTGCTCCTATTGTTACAAAAGAAAGGTCTAGATAATATAGTCGTTATTATTTGGTTTATCTAATGAAATGAAGATCTGGCATTCTTTCTATTTATCATTCTTTTAAAGCACTTATTAAAACTCAACATTCTGCTGTAATTAAGTGTTTTTAGATGTGACTTGGGTGGAGAGTATACTTCGGCTGATTTATCTAAATTGCTTGCTCTTGATGACACAATTTATCAAATCTCGTATACTAATACCCCACAACAAAATGGTGTTGCACATTGTTGAAACCACTCATTCCATTCTCTTGTCTGCCAAAGTTCCCAATGAATTTTGGAGAAAAGTAGTTATCACTGATATTTCTTTAATTAATAAGATTCCATTTTCCCACACGTCAGGTTTATCACTATTTGAAACATTGTATGGACATCCTCCTAATTACTTCTCATTAAGAGTCTTTGGCTATATTTGCTTTGTTCTTCCTCCTGAAGTCGGACATAGTAAGTTGACATCTCGCTTTGCTATCTGTGTTTTCTTGGGTTATGGGTAGGAACAAAAAGGTTATCACTGCTTTGATCCCATTAATAAAAAAATATATGTTCCTTTTCATGTCGTGTTTTTTGAGCACATTCCATTTTTCTATCTTTGATAATACTCATGACGTAACTAAAACTGATCTATTTGTATTGATCCATTCTTTGATAATATTTATAGACCGCCTTTCCATACCTCATGTACTGTTGATTCCTCATGTCCTACAGGTACACATGCGCCGGCTCATGATACTACTTCTCCTTCTATGGCCTCCCAAGCATCGTCTGAGGTTGTTGATCCAGTTCCTATTCCCTTACTTCCTCGATATCCTCAATTCGTAAGTTTACTCAGTTACCTATTTTTTCTTATTCTTGTTATTCTAGCCCCTTTTGTTGTTTTCTAACCTTCATTCACTAGCTATCTGAACCCTCTTCCTATAAAGAAGCTATTTTGGATCCTCTTTGGCAACATGCTATGGCTGATGAACTCTCTACTCTACATATGACAAATACTTGGGATTTAGTTGCATTGCCTTCAGGTAAACATGCTATTGGTTCTCGTTGGATTTATAAGATTAAAACCAATTATGATGGTTCAATTGAGCATTACAAGGCTAGATTGTTTGCTATGGATTTTAGACGATTATAAGGAGACTTTTACTCTTGTTGCCAAGATGACCACAGTTCGTACACTTATTGCAGTTGCATCTAAATTTCAGTGGAGTCTCTCTCAGTTGGATGTCAAAAATGTCTTTTTGAAAGGAAATCTTCAAGAGCATGTTTATATGGTTCCTCCTCCTTGCTAAGATGACCACCGTTCGTACACTTATTGCAGTTACTTCTTTTGTGGAGTCTCTCTCAGTTGGATGTCAAAAATGTCTTTTTGAAAGGAAATCTTCAAGAGCATGTTTATATGGTTCCTCCTCCTGGTCTTTCTCACTCTTTTGGATATGTTTACAAGCTTAAGAAAGCACTTTAAGGTCTCAAACTAGCACCTCGTGCCTGGTTTGAGAAATCCTCTACTATTGTTTATCTCTCTTGGTTTTACATCCAGTCATCATGACTCTACACTATTCTTTAGATGCACTTCTGTTGGTCGTATTCTACTTTTGCTGCATGTTGACGATATGATTATTACTGGTGATGATGTTAATGGGATTGAAGATTTGAAATCAGAATTGGCTTGTCGTTTTAAAATGAAGGACTTAGGCGCATTATCTCATTTTTTGGGAATCAAAGTTGCTTATTCTGTTAGAGCTTTCTCTCTCAGTCTAAGTATATTATGGATGTTATTGAGCGTGTTCATCTTACTGATACTAAAACTGATGATACTCCTCTTATGTCCAATACTCGATATTCACTCTCTGACGGTATACTCTTGATTGATCCCATCTTGTATCGTACCATCATTAGATGTCTGGTTTATCTTACCATCACACATCCCGATATTTCTTATGTTGTTCACATTGTTAGTCAGTTTGTTTCGACTCCTATTATAGTTCATTGGGTAGCTGCTGTTCGTATTTTGCATTATCTTTGTGGTACTTGCTTTCAGAGTCTTTTATTTCCATCGATCTCCTCTTTAGTACTTCGTGCCTACTCTAATACTGGTTAGATCAGTAACCATACTTATCTCAACTACTATTTTTGTATATTTTTGGGTGATTCCCTTGTTTCTTGGAAAAGTAAAACAGATTGATGTTTCTCGTTCCTTTACTGAGGCAGAATATCGTGGTATGGCATCCACTACCACTAAGATTGTGTGGTTGCATTGGTTACTTGCAGACATGGTGTTTCTTCTCTCTCCAACCCCTATATATTATGATAATAAAAGTGATATTCAGATTTCTCACAACTCTATGTTCCATGAGCACACAAAGTATACTAAGATTGACTGCCATCTGATTCGCCATCATCTGTAGACTAGCACAAGTTCTCTATTTTTTGTTTCTTCATCGTTACAGTTTGTTGACTTCTTCACGAAATCTTATCCAATTCATCATTTTCGCTTCTTGTTTGACAAACTCTCGCTACTTTTTGCTATAACATTGTGAGTTTGAGGGGTGATATTAGTCTTATATAATATTATTGCATAATATTTAGTTTTCTTCTTTTATAGATTTCTTTTTTGTTTACTTTTCTTATAATATATAAATTTGTGTATTTCACTAAAAAGCCTAATTTTTGACGGCTCAATATATTATTGATTTTTCCTCTGTCTTTCTTCTTCTCTCCTCTTTGAATTGATTCATTATATTTGTTCAAGATAGTTCATGTTGCTAACAAAACTAACAGAGTTTAGAGGGTTATTAAAATTACTTAAGAGTAACGTGCAAGACTTCTTTTTTGATACTTTATTGGGTACATTATTACATCTACCAAATATGTATTTTCTGGCTTTCTTAAATAAGTCCAATAAAAAAGATTATTTTGTTAGGTTAATGTCCCAAAGCAATCCAATTGCTTTACTAACAAACTGTGTTTTAAGTCAGCAATATTTAATTAGAGGGGATCAATAAGTTTAAAGTGACTTTTTTTTAATTACTTTTTCCGATCTATATTAATGCTAGGTTCTCTAAAATGTATTCTTTTAAGTTATATATATCCCAAAGCAATTCAGTTTGGAGACAAAAAAAAATAATAAAAATTGGAGAATTGTTCTAATTACTTAATGTTCAATAATGTGGAGTCAACTATGAAACTTTTTTTTTTGTTTGTCTATTCATTAGGTTAGTGTTAGTCCACCGAATTGAACCCACGTTGCTAATTTAAAATGCAAGAGGTTACGACGAATGTCAAATAAGCAAGTTCATAAAATAAGAATCATTTACAAGGTTATATTTAAGGAAGACAAAATACTCCATCCCATCTCACCATGTAATGTCCCGTTCCCTACCCGCAAAGTAAGATTATTTTCTTTATATCTCAAAGAAATCCAATTTCTCAAAGTTTACAGTTCACGACCACCATCTGCTTTTCAGAAGAGAGTTTGCAGGTTTACATGTGAAGAATTTAGGCAGAGTTCGAAGAAAAGGTGAATATTCAAGCATTCACATTGTAAAAGAAGAGTGAAAATGATATATATACATAATTTATGTAGAGAAATATATAGGACAGAGAAGTGTACTAAATTAAAAGAGGTCGACTAAAAACAAAGTAAAAGTGGGGTCGGGTGGGTCAAAATACTCCTTATCCTCACAAATCCAACCCACCACCAAAGGTGATTAAAGAAGGGATGACAAAGTAATATGCCATTTTGACGGTGGATAGCCACCCTCTTCCTCCACCACCCTTTTTCTATATGCCCAAATAATATGATTCATGAACACGTCAATTTCATATTTTAGCTACATCCAATTCTTGATTTTCACATCGAAATTGTTATTTAATTGTTGTTCGATTAAATAAAATAAATACTATGATATTTCTAAAATCAATGGAGAAATAATCCTGTGATTACAATACATTTGTTGGTATGATATATGCACACATCATAATCTTTGATTCCAACTTGTAATAATCATGTTATTAGGTTCAACTACTATAACTATTGAGAACTCGTATATAAGCTATTTGGACTTCTATAGTAAAATTATAATAATCATTTTATTATGCACCCAATGAATTGCGGATAGAATACCTTAGGACATATTTCGCATAAGATCGAATTTAAACAATATAATTTTGAGACATGCTATGTGTACATAGGTGTACACATAGGGGTAGACATAATGTGAGTGGGGTGGGATCCATGCTACAGTAGCGCAGGCTCCACCCCACTCACAGTATGTCTGCCCTATGGATCAATCCTATAATTTTTGTGATAAAACTTGTTAATCACCAAAATGTTGAAAAGTTATTCCGAGAAATTCTAAGAAACTTCTCGTGTTGTAGCATTAGTGCTCAAGTCAATATTTTTATAAAACTCATTAGAGAATATTAATCGAAAAATAACTATTATGTATCTTATAAGTGCTTGACAAATGTTATACATATATTTGTCAAATGCCAAATGACAAAATCTTATCAGAATTTGGTAGATAAAGTCACGCACGAATTGAATTTAGCTCCTAACTTAGATAAAGATGATTTTTTAAATCTCTTTTTTATCTCTTATTTGAAAAAAATCTATCTTTTCTCATAAAGTTAATTTTTATCCATAACAATAAATAACAAAATTTTAAATTTTTTTGTCCTTAAAAAACTGTTTAATAAAAAAATTGTAAAATAAAAAAGAGGACATGATTATGTGGATGGCATTGATTCTTTAACGTAAGAGATGGGAATCAACACACGGTGCTTCTCAGAGGCATTGGAATATTTCCTTAGCCAATCAAAAACTTACAAAATTTATTGGGCACTGCACATAACCCTTAACAGTACGTCAACAAAAACCAGTTATAATTGAACACAAGTGTTCATTTCTTAAGGATTTTTCATTTCTTTGCTATTTCCTCCTCAAAAACTTATACGGGCTAAAATTCCATTTAATTTGCACAGCCTCTAGTATTCGTTAATATATTTCTCAATGGAGGCGGCAGCGTCTCCGTCCAGTGGAAACTTTGATCAGAACTCGCCGGAGGTCAGCGGGAGCAAAGGGTTCATGCTGTTTGGAGTAAGAGTCATGGAAGGATCATTTAGGAAGAGTGCTAGTATGACTAACCTGGTTCAGTATGAACAACCCCATGACTCCAACAATGATGTGGCTGCCGGCTATGCTTCCGACGATATTGTTCACCCTTCTGGCCGGAGTCACGAACGGAAAAGAGGTGCGAATTGAGTTTTTGGTTTCATCTTAAAGTTAACGAGATGGTGATTTGACAGAGAATCAACCTCAAAATTTAATTACCCGTTTGAGAATTATACGCGGATCTAATTATCGTCTGAGCTTAATCTCAAATTAAGTCAAGAGTTCTATGTTATCTTAAAAGTTGGAGTAGTCCAAACTCTATATGTTAATTATTTTTATAATTTAGCAACATATAATTTTTTACCTTAAACACTATTCATACGTACACACCAAACTTGTACACAATTTTCATAAATGGATTATACTATGTTAAAACTTTTTTATTTAAAAATTTAAAGAGATGGGATCAATTTATTTATTTATTTAATTTGCGGGTTTCTGATAGATATTTTGTTTGCTAAACTCTGAAAAAAATTGAACAGGAGTGCCATGGACTGAGGAGGAACACAGGTTATTTCTATTAGGGTTGCAGAAAGTAGGGAAAGGGGATTGGAGAGGTATTTCAAGAAACTTTGTGAAGACACGTACGCCCACACAGGTTGCAAGCCATGCTCAAAAGTACTTCCTCCGCCGGAATAACCATAGCCGTCGGCGCAGGAGATCTAGTCTCTTTGACATCACCACTGATACGGTAAATTAATTAGTTAATTCATGTCTTCTATGTTACTTTATGACAACTTCATTTTTAAAAGTCACTTTTTTACCGACAATATTAGTTTTCACTTGCATCCTAAAATAATATCATTTTTTTTTTTTGAATCAAAAATAATATCATTTAGAGTTATGTTACAACTAAAAAAAAAAAACTTTCATAAAATTGCTATAAAATTACACTTGACGCATTATCATTGGTTCTTGTAAAAAAAAAATAATCACTTAAAAAAGCACCATACAGGTGCTGTGTGTGAGCTGTCTGTGAAAAAATCCAAATAATCCTATCTTTTAAACGTAAGCAAGTATCAGTGTTTTTATTGGTACAAGTAAAAATGATCTATGCGATTTTGTATATTTTCATACGCATGGTATTGAAGAAAACAAGATGATGAAAAATACTCAGCATAATTAATTCTAAATTTTTTGAGAGTAATATTTTCTTTTTATTGTGGTGAACTTTAGTTTATTTTTATGCCAAGAGGTACTGAATATCTAGGTTCATTGCACGTGACAAAACTTGAAAGTAGTGTTTCCTAGATAGAGTTAAAAAATTTCTTTGCCCAATTGCAATCTGATTGTCTTTCTTTAGTCTGAATTTAATATTATTTTTTGGTAATAATTTATGGGTTTAACGTTCCTTCCTGAGAATTAAGGTTGTTCATTTGCATTTTAACAGGTTTTGAAGTCAAAAACTGAAGACCAAAAGCATCACGAAAATTCATACCACCCACCAACCATTGAACAACAAAATCTAAGCAAAAATAATGAAAATTTCCCAATGTCGGCTTTTCTTGTACCAATCTCAAGAGAAAATTCAATGGAGAATCTCACACTAGGAACGAAAAATCCAACCAATCTCACCCGTCCAATTCCAAATCTTCCACCCCCTCCATCTTCAAAAATGGCCAAGTTAGACCTAAACAAGAACACCATCCCTGCAGCTGAGCCTCTCCCTTTAACACTTAACCTATCCGTATCACCAGTGCCACCTGATCATCGTCCATCTGCTGCGATACACGTGTCAGGTTTCCAGACAATGCAAGCTAGCTTCAGTAGCAGTAGTGGAGATAGCATGGTTAGTGTTTCTTGATGGGAATAATAATATTGATATCTGTGTTGTAAAGTTGGGAGAGAGAGAGAGAGAGAGAGAGAGAGACTAAAGTTGGATGATTAATTAGTTAGGTTCGGATTATAATTTAATATTTAGATTATTGTTGATTAGGTGGGTAGGTGATGATGATGATCCCTTATTGTAAAGGCTAGAAAAGATTGTGAAAGTTGGTGTCAATTTCAAGAGTTGGAATTCCTGTTCATTTATGTCTCGTTTTCTTTTCCTTTTCTTTTTTCTTTTTTTTGGTGGGGTGATTATTGTACCAGTTATTGTATTCTATTCAGACAACCTTAAGTCATTCTCAGTGTGGACAAAAAACAATATTATTATCCAAAAATCTAATCTTTGATTTTTGTCGGGGAAAATAGTACTTATATTATCCTTTATTTAAGTCCTAGTATTTATGTCATTCTCAAGGCTTGTGGAAATTTATTTACTTGTGTAGTTGCAAGACGAGTTTATTTCCTCGATTACATTATTTCTTGCGGAAATTTATTTTCTTGTGAAGGATCAATTTTGACTTAATATGGAAGTTCGAGGACTAATATGGATGCTTTTTGAAGTTACATGATCAATATTGAAGATTAGGAGGAAAAAGGACCAAAACAGGATGAAAATCATGAAGCATGATCAAATTGAAAAAAGCTGAAAACTTCTGGATTGACTACGGTCAATAGCGATTTGCAAACAACGGTGAGCCCACAGTTGTGTCAAAATCGTGGGCTGCTGGGTGGGCTAGTTTTTTTAAAATTAATTGTGGAAATTACACCAACCCCTACATTTGGAGATTGAAATTCTAAAATCAGATTTCCTACTTTAATTTTCAAAAATCAGATTTTTTATATGTAGATACAAATTTTTTAGTATTATATATATAGAGATTTAATTAAATATTAATCATTAAATTTAATCCTAAATCAAACTATTTTAAATCCCTACTCTCTCTCGCGACAGTACCCAAACCAAAATTCCACTCTCTCTCTCTTCCCTATCTCCGGCGGCGTGGAAGAGGCGGCAGGGTCGTGGTTGTGGTGGCTGGTTGGTGGCGGCGCCGTCGTCGAAGACTCGCAAGGCCGGCCTACGCTGCTTCTTTCTCGTTCCAGTGACATCCTTCTCTCTCTCTTCCTTATCTCAGGCGGCCGGGTCGTGGTGGCTGGTTGGTGTTGGTGGCGACGCCGATGTTGAAGAAATCGCAAGGCCGATCAACGTTCCTGCGATCTGTGCAGTGATTCCTTTTTTTCCCCCCTTTGATGAGGCCGTCGGGGTTGCAGGAAGGTAACATGGACAGATTTTTTTTTTCAATTTTCGACAATTGCTCAGCTACTGTGGCGATGGTTTGAGGTGATCGTTGTAATTGTTGGTTGGTGATGGATTTCGAACGGTGGTGACGGTGCTTACGAAGATGATGAATGAGATAGGTAGATGTACTGGTGGCAGTAGTGGTGGTGCGACAGTGTGGTGTAGGCAGTAATGGTCGTTGTGGTGTTTGTAGTTTGTGGTTTACGGCAGTGAGTGTCGTTGCTGTGGTTTTCCTGCTAAGTTGTGTTGGGGATGAGTTGTTGGTGGTGGTGTTGTGAGAAGCCGATGGTGTTGGTGCAGTGATTGTCTCATGGCTGGTGGTGGTGCAGTGATTGTTGTCTCATGTGAGATTGTGGTAGAGATAAATGGCTGTTGGTGGTGCAGTGATTGTTGGTGGTGATGATGTGTGATTTGTGGTGTATATGTGTTGATCTGTGTATGGTGGTTGTGGTTCGTTCGGAGTAGTGGTGGTGGTAGTGGTGGAGATGGTGAGGTAGTGGTGGAGGAGGCGCCGATAGGGAATGTGCGATAGGTGTGCAATGGGTGGTGTGTGATGATGTGCAGTGTTGGTGGATCTGAGCCGCTGTAGGTTTGTGTTCTGGTGCTGTGGGTTGTGGTGGGACAAAGAGGGTTTATTAGATCTAGTGGTGGCAGTGGCTAAATATTAATCTGATCCACGCCTGTGCTGTGATTATGATCAAAATTCTGAGTTGTGACCTGTGCTGTGACCTGGTCTGTGACCTGTGACCTGAGTTGTGACCTGGACTGTGACCTGTGACTTGAGTTGTGACCTGTGTCGTCGGAATCGGAGC